AACTCACAAAAGCCCGCCAGTCGGACTTGTAGTGTTAAAANCGACCAGTAAGATATTGCGAGTCTTAGTGTAACTGTACGATTCTCAACTCATTTTGTATTTTGTTAGTTATTGTGTCGCTTTTTTTATATTAAACCTCATACCAAATCAGTGTAAACATTATTTATATATCATCTTCGCCAACAGCCCGGAACAACGAACTCACGAAAACTCACAAAAGCCCGCCAGTCGGACTTGTAGTGTTAAATATGTTTTTTTTTTCATTTGTTTATCGTTCAGTTTTTATTCTTTTAAGCCGAAACTTCATTTGATGATTATTGTTAAAAAGAAAAAAAAAAGAAATAACGAAACGAAATAAAAAAGGAAAAATGAAATTGATACTTAAAAAATGACAATTTCTTTTTTTTTTCAACAGCCATTCCCGCTACAATTCTAATAATCAACCTTCGATCAAGAATACTATTATTGATCGAAGCAATCAACCTATATTAAGAAAGAAAAAATAATTGTTAAAGTAGGTACATTATATAATTAACAACATATAATATAAAAAGAAATCAACAACTTAATAATACTGTTTCTATTACGTATTAACTTTAATGGAGATGCTGACATAATTATTTTCCTAAAAAAATACTGTATCTTCATTAATAGCAACTATAAATTCGTTAAGAAATTAATTAACAACTAGTTTCGTGACGTCACGCTCATACCATCGTGCGAGAGAGATAGCTAGTGTCCTTTTACCCTTTACGCATTTCCAACATAAGATCGGGTCAAATTTTGAGTTTTTTAAAAAGATTACTTAAAGCAATTAGACTTAATTCTTTAAAATATAAATATAACTAGGATTTTGATAATACGTTTAAATAACTAGATGTTTAATTAAATTCAATAAAACCACGTTCACTGTACTAATTTCAATGCTGGTGTGAAACACACAGAAAAAAAAAAACATTACCCGCATTTTCTATAAGTGCATCACAAGCCTACTTCGACATCCCGTCACTGGTGTGCTTAGTGCGAGTTTTTTAACGTTCTCGATCGCGTAAAAGTTAACTCAAATTTGTATGCAGTTGGAACAGCGCCCCTAGCGGCAAACGTAGGCAAACGTTTCAACTCCATACAAATTTGAGTTAAATTTTATGCTCCGACAGCCGCTGAGCCCACTGAGTTTTTTTTTTATTGCTTAGATGGGTGGACGAGCTCACAGCCCACCTGGTGTTAAGTGGTTACTAGAGCCTATAGAAATCTACAACGTAAATGCGCCACCGACCTTGAGATATAAGTTCTAAGTTCTCAGTATAGTTACAACGGGTGCCCGACCCTTCAAACCGAAACGCATTACTGCTTCACGGCAGAAATAGGCAGGGTGGTGGTACCTACTCGCGCGGACTCACAAGACGTCCAGTAATTTCTTCGCTCACTCCCCTCTTACACATCGTCTTTCACGCAATCCATCTATTTTTTCATAGGTCTACCACTTCCTCTATTGTGCCTTCCATTGTACCAATTTCAATGCTGGTGTTAAATACAGGCAAAAAAATAATCGCATTTGGTATTCGGGCGGGACAGGCCACTACTTCAATCTCACGTAACCAGACGTACTCCGACAACCGCTGGGCTCAATGAGTCTTGCCAAACCCTTTCAGTGGATCGCGATTACGATCCGGCGGTAGATTCAGCTAAGCACTGCTCTTGCTAGTGTTAATGTTAGTAAATTCTCTCAGGTTGAGTCCGTGAGCTCACCAACCCGTCAGGGTACAATTGGAATAGCCTCTTAGGCTACCAGCGAATGGCTAAAAAAAAACAACTGCTAAACCATTGAAGTTTGAGACTTCCCAACGGATCCGTGAGAATAATGGGATAGTGAGTGAAAAACGCCAACATCTCCACTAAAGTGATCAACGTTAACTAAATTCTAATTACACTGTGTGCGATCTAAGACCCGAATTTGAATTATCGCCATAATAATATTAAAAAAAAACAACTGCTAAACAATTGAGGTTTGAGACTTTCCATCGGATCCGTGAAAATGTGGGATAGTGAGTGAAAAACGCCAACATCTCTACTAAAGTGATCAACGTTAACTAAATTCTAATTACAGTGTGCGATCTAAAACCCGAATTTGAATTATCGACATAATAATATGAAAATAAAACAACTGCTAAACCATTGAGGTTTGAGACTTCCCATCCGATCCGTGAGAATAATGGGATAGTGAGTGAAAAACGCCAACATCTCCACTAAAGTGATCAACGTTAACTAAATTCTAATTACACTGTGTGCGATCTAAGACCCGAATTTGAATTATCGCCATAATAATATTAAAAAAAAAAACAACTGCTAAACAATTGAGGTTTGAGACTTTCCATCGGATCCGTGAAAATAATGGGATAGTGAGTGGAAAACGCCAACATCTCCACTAAAGTGATCAATGTTAACAAAATTCTAATTACACTGTGTGCGATCTAAAACCCGAATTTAAATTATCGGCATAATAATATGACTGAATAATACAATCAAATAAATAAATGAGGACAAATCGAACGCAGCTATCTGAACTCGGACTGTGGGATCCGGCGACTGTTATACATTACTTATAAATATGTTTAAATATATCCAGTAAAAGCTCCTTATTTTCGCTTCCTTCATTCACCAATCACGGATTAAAAAAGATGCGACCCAATTCGCTATGTTCGCGGCCAAATATTCCTTATATTATCGGATCTAATATGTACGTACATGAATAAAAAGGATTTCATTGCATATCTAAGTATTCGCGACATATTTACAGAACGTAAACCTCGCGAATCAAGAGCTTTTACTGTACATACATATTTAGAGAGGCAGAGAAAGAGCTCTTTGTGAGAATCGGACCCACGACCCTCGTTTCAATAATCAGGGATTCCAAACTGTACCAACTGAGTCATTCTTAGAAGAACTATACCAGTCGAGGCACGCGTGGCTATGAAAAAAGGCGGGTCTGGATATTGCAAATTGCTTTGCTTCTTAAGGCTTCGTCAAACAGAACGCGTACTTAGCGCGCGTCAGAACGCTAAACTGACGGTACGCTATGGCTATGACGCCGAGATGTGTTGTACTATAGCCGCGCCAATAAAGAAACGAATCTAAAATGGCGGCGATGATCATGCCCTCTCACTCTAAACTATTGCTGTCTTTAGTCGCACAAGGCGCGTACTGCATGCAAAAAAAATATCAGTTCTGACTTTGTTCTCACACTGTCTCGACGCGCTCTGTTTTCTCTGAAAATTTGTTGTTATTTGTTGCATTTGTTCGTTATTTTGTTGTTTTTGTTAAATAAAGTGTATATTTTATTGTTTTTTTTTGGGCGGCAAGCTCGGCAACCGCGCCGGGCGTTCGAGTTGTGCGACTTAGATGATTGGCAGCTAAAGTGTCTACGCAAGTTGCATCCCAAACACCTCCCTCTCTGCCAGGGCACCAAAGTTAAGTACATTCTCATTTGTTTTTTTATATTATTTTACAATAAACAACTTTTTGTTTCTATCTTTCTTTTTATTTGTTGACCCTACCATCTCTTAGTGCAGGTACATAGACGCCATTTTCGATTCGTTTCTTTATTGGCGCGGCTTATAGTATGGTAAATATACTGTCAAACAGAGCGCCAGCGCTAAAGCCTTGTTCGGACTAGGCGAGTATTTAAGTCGAGTATCGAGTAATTTAGTAGCTAAATGTGTCTGAGCACCAAAAATTTAGTCGATTAGGTTAGTAAATAATTTAGTCAAGTCAATCCATTTTGTTCTACTTTTTCGGGCGAGTAGCGAGTAGTTTAGCCACTAAATTACTCGGTACTCGACTAAAATACTCGCCTAGTCCGAACAAGGCCTAACAGTACGCAATGCTCTGTCGTGGTGTTAAGACGCTTTGACGTCAGACGTTGTAATTTTTTACAAATTTTATTTTAGCGTCCGAGTGAATGTGTATTAAAATACTGGATAATGCCCGAAAAATTGATAGAATTAGTTAAAATAAAGAATAGTATAAAAAACCAAACAAAATATCCTTTTATAGAAAATAAATTTGAATTAAAAATAGTGTAAGAAAAAATGATTTTATTGTAAAAAAGCGTGGGGTGCTTTTCAGGATATTATCAAAATAACCTTTCTATTCATATCTGTTCATAAAATATTTATAACTACTGATACCATGCACACCACGCTTTTTTTTAAATTAATTCTTTTTCCTTATGTACACTATTTTTAATTCAAAATTATTTTCTATTTTTTAATTGGATTTCAATTTTTTAATATTGAATTGTCATCGGTCGTTAATAAGTATACCAAATTTCTAGTTAATCCGACGTTTTGAAGGGAGCCAAAATCATGTTCAAAGATTCCGTTACATACTAACATACATACGTCTGAAGCTAATAAAAGCGTATTTAAATACCCATGCTTATACAATGCCACATCTGAATCAAATCACTTGACATCTTAATACTTTTAAATTTTCACACTGCTATCGAAAGGCACTATGATTTGGCGACTGTTACGTTGTCTCAAGGAGCGTTGGGCTCATCTAGTCAATTTGTGTGACATGAAAACAGCACGACGTTATAACGCAGCGCTAAGTACGCGTTCTGTTTGACGAAGCTTTTAAGGCCTAGGCCGCACTACGGTTTCTTCTCGGGAGCATTTAACCGGTATAACCGCGAAACCGCTTAAGACGCACACACTACAATTATTAACCGCGAATTCGCCTGCGATTTTCACAGTTTGAAGATGGATAAATTTCAAAAGAGCAGTATGTAGTGTTGCTCGGCTACTAAGATATAGAAAAAAAGACAACGAAAATTTCACACATGTTGAGTCCATCCACTTACTAGCCGTAGATTTGAGAGAGGTTTCTTTCATAAGAAATATCAAAATTTAAGAAAACACCCAGAGAAATTTTTCAATTACTATCAGATGTCTCTCATGGAAACAAAAAATCGCAAATGTATTTGAAGATTAAAAAAAACCGCCCGCGGTTACGCATACCTAATGCGTGCACGGATACCTAGTTCTATGGGATTACAAATTTTGTTGCGGTTTTTTTTCCGCGACAATTTTGTAACATTTCGCGGTTTTAAAATTCAGTCGCGGGAAAGAACCGCAAGTGCGGCCGCTTTTATTCCTTTTCGTTTTTCATAAACTCACACGCTTAATAACCGCTGCGGTTTTACCGTAGTGCGGTCTAGGCCTAGCACGATCAGCCAAATTATGTTTAATCCGACGACGGCACAGCGCTGAATCCTCGCGAGCGTGTTAAGGACTAGACACAGTCTTCGGCGTTTCGTATTCCGCCAAAGTGACGCCGTGATTCGAAAGCATATGGCTTTTTAAGCTGCACTTTTGCACGAAAGCCAGCGAACAGACCCCGCACTTGAACCTCCTGTCGTTGTTGTGGATCCTCATGTGCTCCCTCAGGGTCTTCTTCCTGGCATAAGCCTTCAGACAAACGGTACATTTGTAGACCCTCTCCCCGTTGTGCTTTATCATGTGCTCGTCCAGGGATTGCTTTATGAAGAACCCCTGACCGCATTCCGGACATATATGATTGCGTTCCATCAGATGAACCTTCTTTATGTGCGCAGTCAATTTCGACTTTAGTATAAAGGTCTTATCGCATATATTGCATCGATACGAGGCGGCGACTGCGTTGTGCTCTTTAAACATGTGCCGGTTTCTCTGGTAGTAGCTGGTGAAGGATTGTTCGCAGTGTGGACAGTTCGTAGTGTACCTAGCGCTGCTATTGTGCGTGTACTTCTCGTGGCACATCTTCCTGACTCTGGTCGTGAAGACTTTATCGCAAAACGAACACTGGAAGTCACCAATCTCATGCGTTCTCTGATGATTCTTCAGCCTGTGCTTATTTATGAAACCTAGATCGCATATCTCGCATATATAGTTCCTGTAGTGGCCATTCATGTGTTGTAACAGCATCTTGAAGGTTTCAAAGGTCGAATTGCAGAGGGCACAGTTTAAAATCTCGCTGTCCGTTAGTTTGAACTCCAAAATGTAATTGTGAATATCCGAATAGAACTTCACTTCGTGCTCTTTCGATAGATGCTTTATTAGATTATCGATAACGTCAAAATTCGCACCGCAAGCGTTACAACTTAGATCGGTTATGTCCATTTTGACGGATAAATTGTTTTTGTCCATTTTCTTCTTATCGATTAGCTCGTCATTTGAGTGAGTTTCTTTGATGTGAGTTCGAAGTTTGTCAATATTTGGATGTGTCTCTTTGCAGTAAGCGCACACAATCCCGGACAGGGTCTTGTTCAAGAATGGCGTGCAATTCGAATTCTTCAATAGATTGTCTATATTGTTCTTGTGCTTTGAATTTTCGTTCGTGAAACGTATCGTTGGCATCGGTTTTAACATTTTGATCTGAGACAGAGTACGCAGCGATATCTTTAGTTGGGATTTTGATTTTTTCTCTGAAATACAAAACTAGCGGTTTTGATGTGAAATATTTATAGGCGCGCTTAAAGCCGATTGCTGACGTGATGACGAATCATCGCGATATATGTTAGTAATATATCGAGGGGTGAAAGCTGTAAGCGATATTTTTGCAACTTTACAAGTGAACCACGACCACTCTGCCAAAAGTGGAAACGACTTAGAAAAAGAAGAAGAATTTAAAGCTTAAGATTCGGAAAAAAAATCGTATGATAATATCGTTACGCCGGTGAGAGCAACGCCATCTATCGTCGAATATCAGAAGAACCCGTGAAATCTAGTACGCTCGAGAAGGATAACGCCATCTGTTACGTCCCACCCTTCAAACCGAATGGCATTACTGCTTCACGGCAGAAATAGGCACGATGGTGGAACCTACCCGCGCGGACTCACAAGAGGTCTTACTACCAGTAATTACGAAAATTATAATTTTGTGGGTTTTGATTTTTATTACACGATGTTGTTCTTTCACCGTCGAAGTCAATCGGAAACATTTGTAAGTACGCATTTCATTAGAAAAATTGGTACCCGCCTGTGGGATTCGAACACCGTTGCGTAGCTAGATACGAATGCACCGGACGTCTTATCCTTTAGGCCACGACCGCTTTTGCCTAATTTTTACTAGTAAAGCTTGAAAGGTACCATCAACCAGTTAACTCCTGTCGCCAAAACTTCCCGATTCGAAGAGTAAGGCAGCCGTAATACAACAGAGAAATCGACCTCAAAGCTGAAGATGAAAAGGAATCACTTACAAAAAAAATAGTTCTCCCGTCATCATCCTAAATTCCTCAGAGATTCTGTATCATCGTGGCGAAACTTGGGAGGAACCTTGATAGAACATTTGACAGAAACGAGAAACTTAAAAAAAAAAGTGTTTTAGATAGAACACCAATCAAATTATGTCCTTGTACAATCGCATACAAAATACTTTTATTTCTATATAAACTATACCTTATCTAATATGAATCTGAAATATATAAATAATATATGCTCACCGTGCGTTTTATTTATACGCAAATTACGTTTCTTAATAAGTTTCTTGTCCGTTTTCCTTTTGACGGTGACTGTACCGAACCCCAGTATGTCGGCGAGGTTCTTGTCGTCATCAATCGCTCCCATCTCGTCAAGATCAGAGGCTTCCTCTTTCAAATCTATGAGATCAAAATAAATAATAATTTAAAAAAAGCGTGGGGTGCTTTTCAGGATATTATAAAAATAACCCTTCTACTCATATCTATTCATAAAATATTTATAACTACTTATACCATGCACCCCACGCTTTTTTGCAATAAAATATTTTTTTCTTACACTATTTTTAATTGAAATTTATTAAAACTTATTTTCTATTCTTTAGTTAGATTTTCTATAAAAGCGTATTTTTTTGTTTTATTAAACTATTATATTATTTATTATTCATTTCTTAGTTGAATTTAAAAATTTTCAATATTTTTTTATATATTGATTTGTCATCGGTCCTTAATAAGTATACCAAATTTCGAGTTAATCCGACGTTTTGAAGGGGGTCAAAATCATGTTCAAAGATTCCGTTACAAACTAACATACGTCTGAAGCTAATCGAATTGCGCTGATGGTAACCACGCCAAGGTCCCAACATGATTTTTTAAAAACACCTTTATTTTTTAGTTGTTGTCTAAATGGGTGGACAAGCTCACGGCCCACCTGGCGTTAGGTGGTTACGGATGTCCATAGACATCTAAGGTCTCTGCATAGTACAATCCGGTTTCAAATCCTGGATCCCTTGTACTATGGAAATCGGAGACAGATATACACACTTAAAGTTTAAATAGATACATATAAACACTTAGATAGTGGCCAAACATACGTGTTTAACGCACAAACCATTTTGCCCAATATGGGAATCGAAAACGCGACCCGCGGCCCAGCGAGAGGGGGCATAAATTACTGCGGCACCGAGCCTGTCTTTACTATGGAGATATGACGCCACCAATGCAAGGGGCACAGCAAAGTAGCAGGCTACTGGTGCCTACTACTACTTTACTGGTGGTAGGACGTCTTGTGTCTTGTGTACACGGGTAGGTACCACAACCTGCCTATTTTTGCCGTGAAGTAGTAATGCGTTTCGGTTTGAAGGGTGGGGCAGCCGTTGTAACTATACTGAGACCTTAGAACTCATATCTCAAGGTGGGTGACGGCATTTACGTTATATATTACGTCTATTGGATCCGGTTACTACTTAACACCAGGTGTGTTTTTTTTCAAATGTTCCAGCTTTAATTCAGTTATAAGCCCTCATTTCGGTTGGAGGTGTGACTGGGAGTAGCTTCAACCCATGTTCCTAGAGGTGTCGTAGGCGACTAAGGCATTTACCGAACAATTTGCCTCAACATTCTCAGACCATTATACCAGCAAATGGCTATTTCTACCAGGCCTTTACTGATGGTAATGCAAATCGTGCCCGTGCAAAAGTCTGATCAATAAATAAAATGGAAATATTAGTGCGTGGCTGACGTTACATATTAAAAACGTGCGTACCCAGAAAATATATACCGTTTTCTTCATCTAAATCTGTCACTTCCTCTTTGACTTTCGTTGTGGTACTATCTGAAAAAAAAAACAAAACAAATAAAGCAATATTTAAAAGTTTTGGGCAAACAGTGCTTCCAATATTCTTTTTTATAGTGCAAATAGTTGGACGAACTCCAGCTCTACAAATTGCAGCCGTGGGCGTTTCCCATGACTAAACGTCTCCAGTCTCGATTGCTGCGGGATTGTCTTCGGACTGTTCCCGCGGATGGATGGGGACTTTGGAAAATGGGCGCACTACAACGCAGTGACGCGGACGGGGATGCCCCCGCCGAGTTGGTCCCTCCTGTTATATAATCTATGGCAACACCACACACATCCGCCATTCAAAAAAAAGGCACACACAGAGCTCATGTCGTTTTATTATAAAATATAACTATGCTATAACCCGGCCATCCTATGACTTCATACCTCCGAGCATCTCTAAGGAGGCGAAGATTCATGCGTGATCCGTGTCGACGATGCGGAGACAGTACACGCTTCCAAGGATGGTGTTCATGACCGGGTCTGGGATCGGGCCTTTGGTGCTAACGGGGTCTGTCTCATGGGGCTCTTCGAAGCCTGCTTCGAGTCTGGACGGTTTCTGAACTAGTGGAAGACGGGTAGGCTCGTTCTGCAGAGAAGGAGGGCGCGTATCTCCGTCGGCTGAGAGGATCCTACCTTGAGGATAGGTCGGTTGTATGCACCGGACACGTTGGGGCGGTTATCCGCTACCATGTCGAATGCGATGTTCCTCTGAAGATGGTCGTCGTTCCTCTCCTGTGGAACGTTGGCTAAGACGGGGAGGGAGGGGGGATTCCTTTGCGCGCCTCTACCGGTCCTTAACGTAAATTTCTACGCACTTGCGCCGCCTCGGGGTCCCACATTGTGATCGGAGGCATCCATGTCGTGATCAGGGCGAACGGGTTGCGGTGTTTTACCGGAAGGCTGATGGAGCTTCCGCGCCAACTTCAAAAAGTTTTTACGCCACAGCCACCTGGGCCTCTCGGACTAGGAATCGTGACCGAGGACGTCTCACCTTCCGGGAGACGTAGGTGATCATGAGACATGGCTGTTTCGACCGCTACCTGCACATCGTTGCCCGGAGAGACACCGAAGTGTCACCACTGCAGTGGTTGTGACAATAGTACGGCAGAGTACACGCTCTCGTACTGTTGCTCAGCTTTCGCAGAGCAGCACCGCGTCCTTAACGAATCCTGGCAGGCGATGTTCGACTTCTACGAGTCCACCATCTCGCAAAAGGAGGCGGCGGAACGAGAGAGGGAGAGCTCTTCTTCCCTCTCGGGGTCGAGCTAAGGGTCGGAGGAAAGCGATTACCCTCTACTGGGGTGTAGGGCTCGAATCAAATTCTTGCATTTACATCCGTCTTGGGCAAACTGTTCTAGCTCCTGCAACGTCATGCCCAAGACGCTCAGTTCCAGCTCTACTGAGGGATCCTAATTTTTTCTGGGAAGACCTCTCTTCCTTCCAGACACTTTCCAGGTCATTGCTCTCTTGGATACCTACCCACCTGGGTATCGGTATATAAATATTAGATTAATAAAAATACAAACCTTGTATGAGAGCAGCCAGATGCTGGAACTGCCTCTGGCACCGTTGAATTTGATGCTTAAAATCGCAGGCATCACGTAACCTTGTTATGCAAACATCGCAGATCCCACTGTCAGCCGCGCACATACCGAATGACATCTGGAATAGATTTTTCGTTAATTAATATGTATTCTTTTTGCCATCATTTGACTAATCAAATCAAAAGAAACCGAATCAAAATTATTAAAATTAAAATTGTCAACTACTAATATAAAATTAACATTAAATAAAGGTAGTATATGAGTCGTCTATTATCAAAGGTGGCAATCTGTGTATTTGGACAAAAAAATGTTATTGATATGTCAATACAGATTGATTTGAATATACAGTCAAAATCTGTTATAACGACATCGAAGGGACTGCTCATATTCAGTCGTAAAAACCGATAGTCGTAACAACCGGTGATGCTTAATGTGTATCGTGCAAGTACAAACAAATCGATAGGGAATTATTGGAAAAATATATTTACATAATACGCAATTTTTCTTCAATATTAATTTGTTTTCTTTTTCTTTGCGACATTTTGAAAGTTTCACGAATAACTCCACAAAGTTTTGGTGCGTCTTGTGTATAGATAAGTAATAAACTAACTGAAGAGATATGAAGAAGCGATCTTTGACTCTACTGCATGCACGTGTTTTGTTTCTAAGAATTAGAAAAGACCCTACACTAAACTAAATCCTATTGTTTTCTTTCCTGATTTTAATAGCCATTGAAGACAAAAGTGGATACCTATTCAAATTGTTTACAATACAGCTTAGCCGGTCGTTCTAATAGATCTAATTCTCTGAAATATAAGTTAAATGTGGTTGTTTTATGAGGTATGTCGTTATAAGCAATGTCATAGAAAGCAATGTTTTTAATAAGGCGGTCATATAGCATTCAGCCGGGACCTTTGTTCTAGGTTATTATAACCGGCATGTTGTTCTAAACGATGTCGCAGTAAACGGTTTTGACTGTAATCGTCTCCTTCAAAGAATACGGTTCAAAACCTGCATTAAATAAAGGTTAATACTTAACCTGTTATTTATCTAAGATGTCGTTCAAAAGAGTTTTGTGACTGCCAATGGAATACAAAGTCAATAATTCGTTTTTCTGATTTACCAATAATTGTCCAAAAGTCACATTGCCGGCTTTGATAATAGTCGACTCATATAAAAGGTAGTAAATAATAAATAAAATTAAATAAAAATAACTAATACAATAAATAATGAAATAATTTTAACTGAGTAACCACCGCCACCATACCAGTCACTGTATTAGATTAATGAGAGACAGATGCTTATTACAACAGTTTCTTATATAGGGGCAGTCCATTCTGTCGGCAATCATAATGCATTTCAGTTTGAAGGCTAAGACAGCTGTTGGACTGAAAAAACAAAGACTTAGAACACATATCTCAATTTAGGTGTGTCATTTATGTTGTTGATTTTAATAGACTCCTGTAGCAACTTAACATTAGGTAAGCCATGATGCCATCCACTGACATTTGTAATAAATATTTTTTTTTTTTTACTGATAACTAATAATAAACAATAAATCTTTAAAAAGTGCTAAACCATATTTACCAAACCCATCCTTAAGATCTAAAGAAACTGATGTGTAGTATTAATCGGTAGAATATGATAGGATAGGTAGGATAAGAATAGGCAATAGAATGATTTGTATAGAAATTAATGCAAATTTGTGAATCCATGTTGTTTGTACCTTTGTCAGTTTCTCCTTTACTAGGTGGAAGATTTAGGGAGGCAGGATGCAGGATGAATAATAATACCCTTTAGTTACCACTTAGAGCAGTTGTGTAATTTTTCTAAATTGGGTAACATTGGGTAACCTAACATGAGGTAATTAGTGGCAAGATTATCTGAATTAAAATAATAATTAATAAGTAAATAAATTAATTAATTAATACATGAAACTCATGTATATATATATTTTTTTTAATTCTTATTGACATAAACACAGATTATATTCCCGTAGACAAATTTTTAAAATTTTCAATTAAAATTTACGTGTTTTTTTTATTACATTTTTTTATTGCCTTTATAGGCCGACGAGCACACGGCCCACCTGATGGTAAGTGACTACTGTAGCTCATGGACGTCAGCAAGGCCAGGGGCACAACCTGCTGTCTTCCATTGAGTACTCCACAAGCCTCGTTTTAAAAGGACATGTCATAGCGCTTGGGAAACACCATGGAAGGGAACTCACTCCAAAGCCGAATGACCACATGAACAACATACATGAATTTCGAAGCAATCCTTCACCATATCCGCGTATACTTCAGACGTTCCAAGAGTTGTGTACACAGTTTTCAAATCTTTGTCCGGAGGCCGCGCCATGCAGCACCGGCACGTAACAGACTTCGACATTAGCACGAATTGAAATACATTCACGCCATTCAATTCTGAAAAATTTCTATTTAAATAATTTTTTTTCGAACATCCTAATGTTATTGCCCGATTTGATTAATTCCAATTTATCAATGACGTATGACAGTGAGAGTTTGTTGAAGTTTCCAAATAAATTTTTGAGACTTTGGCAATACACTTGACATTGGCGAAATCTAAAAGGAAACGCTAACCTAAGAGATAGATAGATAGAGACTTTGGCAAAAAAGTTGGTGTACCACAGGGTAGGTAAAGAATATTGCGTAATTTATGTTATTTAATATTTTTTTCATTATTGTCCAAGAAAGATTTTCAAGAAAATACATGATATAGCACTCATTTCTGGTAAAGCGCTTTATAAGCTCGTGTGTGTAAGCTCTTTTATATTCCTGAACTAGCTGACCCGCCAGAATTCGTAGTGCCTCAATCGATAAATAAAAGACCTAAACTTTTGTATAAAAAATAAACTTAAAACAAACAAAAGGAATCCGTCCGACGGGGGACACATCAAAGGTAAAACAAAATTGTTATTTTTATTTAATCTCGAGCATTTTCATATTTATCTACTTTTTAAACCTTCTCTGGACTTCCACAAATAATTCAAGACCAAAATTAGCCAAATCGGTTGAGCCGTTTTTTGAGTTTTAGCGAGACTAACGAACAGCAATTCATTTTTATATATAGAGATATAGAATATAGATAATTCACTTCAATCATCAATCACTTATTTAGCCAATTTCAGGGTGATTTTAATAATTACGTATTTGTAAATACATTCAAAAGTTAATAGCAGTCTAAATGCAAATGCCAAGCCTCAAAAGGTAAATATTTTTTGGAGTTTATCAAAGTCAGTCCTTGTGATGGGCTCTTCAAGATCAATGCCGTGACAATTATTTTATTTCACCAATTTCCTATTTACTTATAAATTTCTATGAAAATGCATAGTCTTACCTACAAAAGAGGCTGTGGCGTTTTATTATGCGTAAGCCGGAACGCACGAGAGGTGGGAAAAAGGATATAGTCTGTGACACGATACCTTTTTACAGCCAAATATGAAAAACATAAAATAATTTACAATGTGTTAAATAACTAATTTAATATAATTACTTTATGCCGCTACAACAATAAAATTTATATTGTTCCAACTGTGGTGTTAATTACATAAAAAACGACCAGGCGAAATAAAGAAGGGACTCTATATGCACTCCCTCAAGTCATTGCCAAAGCGAAATCAAAACACCTTGTCAGAATTGGCGAGCGACTGAAGAGCTATTCCTCTGGGAGTCGTGCTCTTTGGTCATTCACCAAATCTGCAGAAGTCAGCTTTTGTCGGTCGAGTCTCCCACCACTGCGCAAGTCCGATAACAATCTGGCCCGTAGTGTGAAAGAGGAGATTGAGCCTCTGATTGAACCCTTCGCCTCGAATTGGACTATAGATGATGGATGAGCCACACGAACATGTATAGCAGGCAGCTACATATACAACAATAGTCCTGCGGGAGATCCGCTTCGCACAGCGTGCGGTCAGGGGGGAGATCCAACTCTTGATTGTCGTTAATTCAAGTGGGCCAGATTACATCCCTACATAAGTTTTGAATACGTCCGTCTCTTATGGCATTAACAGTGTTCCTTCTGTATGGAAGACAGCTCAAGTCTACTTAATCTATCCTCAAGAAGCCTTACCAAGATATGCCTTAACAAAAACTTTTGCTTTACAAAAAACAACTAATTCAGCCACGCGTACCAAACCACGCGTCACCAGACCATCCATACTAGTTAAAACCGCTGCGTTTTTCCACGGTGCGTTTCCAGAGAACTTTTCTGCAACGCACTCTTCGGCTTTGGAAAAAATTCCCTGCTCGGATTCTCTGCTTCCCGAGCGCTATGTTTTCCTTCTCTAAACGAGGCTTGCGGACAGTACTTAGAGGTAGACAGCGACTTAGCTCTGCCCCTGACGTTTCTCATGTCTATGAGCGAAGGCAACCATCCAACATCAGGTGGACTGTGTGCTCGTCTGTCCGCCATGCAACAAAAAAAAAAATGTAAGCATGTAAGCATTTTTTTAAATTATCGATCACACACAAACTTTGAGTTTTCAATATTAAGTGCCGTAAAAACTTCATGACTTGTATGTTGTACCTTATAAATTCGCCTGTATCTTATACAGTTAGAATAGAAATAAAAAACAAAAAAACTATAATTTAACTGCCTTGCGTTATTGTTATTTTGTTCTTTTGGACGTTTCGAAGACTTAACAGTTTTTGTGGTCACGGTGGTCTCGGTGCTATTCAACGACATAGTGTGCTTTGATTCTGATATTTTGTTTTGTGTATATTTAAAATTGAGAAATATCAAAATTATTAGAATGTTCCTCTAAAAGGATTATGATTACCAAATATTAAGAAATATGATTATTGGAAAAGTGAGAAAAACTATTGAATTAGGAAAATAAGAAATTATGTGAAATAAGAGAAAACCTTTACTGAATATAAGGTTTTAATAAGCTAAAATTAACAGTAAAATTTGCTTTGATTACATTAGATACATTGACAATTATCGAATAAAACAGATTGACAATGACATCAACTTATGGCTGATAATTTCAACTAAGAAGTTTACATCATTCTCCCGCACTATTTTAAAATATAATCTTTCAAAAATCCTGGCGTTTTATGGACGCGACCAGATCTACGAAGTGTTGGCTCCGGCGGTGGTGATGATGGTAATTCTGTCTCTAGCTCTCTGCTATTATCAAGTACCACAGGTCCCGTTTCATTAGATGAAGGNATTTGACCTTCGGGGCCCACGGTATGGGCTGGTCGAACATCGTGATTGGGCGAACGGCGGGGGCGGAGGTGTTGACGCGCCTAGTCGGGAGGGGGATGCTCAGCGTGGTGTTCGGAGGGCGACCCCTTTTGAAGAGCACCGCTGTGCTTTTCGTGGGGTTAATGTCGATGCGCCACTTCCGGAACCACTGTCCCATGGTGGTAACTGCGGTCTGAAGTCGTCGATGAAGCAACGCCTTCTTCCTACACGAGTAGTAGATGGCGGTGTCATCGGCGAAGAGCGCCAGATGGGTCTCCGGAGACCAGGGTATATCGTTGATATACAAACTAAATAGTAACGGGGAGAGGGCGGAGCCTTGCGGGACTCCGGCTGTGACGTGACGGGGCCGGGAACGCGTTCCCTCGACTCGATATCGGAACGAACGGTTCGACAAGTAGTCTCGTACGATGAGCACGAGTCTGTCTGGCACTCCCATGTTATACAGTTTGTATATCAAACCGTTGTGCCAGACTTTGTCGAACGCCTTCGCTATATCGAAGAAGAGGGCTCCTGTCGGAATGTAATCTATCCTCAAGAAGCCTTACCAAGATATGCCTTAACAAAAACTTTTGCTTTACAAAAAACAACTAATTCAGCCACGCGTACCAAACCACGCGTCACCAGACCATCCATACTAGTTAAAACCGCTGCGTTTTTCCACGGTGCGTTTCCAGAGAACTTTTCTGCAACGCACTCTTCGGCTTTGGCTCTAAAAGGATTATGATTACCAAATATTAAGAAATATGATTATTGGAAAAGTGAGAAAAACTATTGAATTAGGAAAATAAGAAATTATGTGTACGCTTTATTCTAATTAAAAAAATAGTTTACTAAAAATCATCTAAAAATTATATTATTTTAGACATCTATTTATTTTACCTGTGATTTTATGATTAAGATATTTGTTGATTCTTAATGAGAGTTATTTTATTTCGTTCTTTTTGTATCTTTGAACATTATAATTAACACAAAATCATTATTCGTATAATTTTTCCTCACCATAAAGTAATTAATATCCACACGTTGTCATTTTCTTCAAGTCTTTTTCTTAATTTTATTTTTATCTCCAAAAATATCAGGAACTTCACAATGGTGCTTTCACACTTTTATCAATTTCAATTATATTAATCAAGAAATGATTCTGGCCTAAAATAATTGTTGTGTCACAGGGTTAATTTTTTTTGGATGAAATCGTTACATTTATATTCCGGACTAAGAATCACCCGTAAGTAAAAAGGCTAAAAAGTCTAGTTATCAGCTACTGATGAACTTGGAAAACAACTTGAACTTAAAATTAAAACCATAGATTAACTAAAATGGCGGTACGGTTGTGAATAGCGTCTATTGATTTTAAACAAAATACTATTATTTACCGATTTTGAATGGTGTGATAGATAAAGAACTCATAATGGAGAACAGTGGCGGTAATATGTGTCGATGTTGTGCCTCTGAAGGTGTGTATAAGGACTTGAATACCACTTACCATTGGATGGGCGAAGAAGAGGTATACGGAGACATGTTGAAAGATTGTTTCAACGTACAGGTAATTTTTATGACTATAAATATGAGATGTTTCCAAAAAAAATTCAAATTTATATACTTGACTCTAATATTAATTTAACACAATTTTTATATCCAAATAATACTCGGTACTTTTCGGCGTTTTAAATTCTGTTTTAGACATTATTTCGAAATTAATAAAAATTTAGTACACAATTACACGGTTAATGAAGGTATGTGATGGGAACGTGAGATATAGGAAGAACTTGCTGCCCTACAACCCGGTTAAAAAAGAATGATTTTTTTGGCTTCTAAACAAATTTTACATTTGATAGTAAAATTATCAGATCTACTGAGCCCTGGACATAATTGCTCAAAGTTTCGTTGTAATGGGATTAATAAATTAAATTGTCTATTACTTATGAGAGACTAATCAGATTAATTCATTCTCAGCTTCCCACAAATATAATTCAATATTCTATCAACAAACCTGAGATGTTAATTTAATGAAATCAACATAAATTTCATAAAAGTAAATAAAACTATCTCAAGAGACAGAATGTATAGAAATCCAATAGAAAATCTATTTTGAAATCTGGATGGAAGCATTTGTGTCATGCGGCTTATCAGCTGTGGTAATTATGAATACAAGGATTCTTTTGATTTTTTTCTTATTTTTCCTAAATTGAATGGGTGGGTGAGGTAACCCACCAAATGTTAACCACGTTAATGCCGATGCTTATCTGACATGAATTCCAAATCTCAGTTTCACAGTACAATGGCTGCTTTAACCTTCAAACCGAAAGTCATTAATGCTTTTTGTCAGAAAATAAGCAGAGTGGTTGTAACTATCCTTCAGGGCTCACAAGACGCACTAATATCAGCTATGAATGCCAGTTATACTTATTGAAAAATTGCTATTAACCTATCAGATTTGAACACCAGCAATATATCAATGTACGGGACATCCTTTCCTTATCATCTTATTCTTTGGGCCCAGAAGATTTCTGAATATCTGTAATATGAATAACAGTATTCTTTCAAAAAGTGAGATTTTGAAAATTTTGTGGCTTATTTTTAATATTGTGCTAATTACCATTTAATTTTTCTATAGAAGTGAATTTTAGGGCTATATTTTTCATTTAACACAGAACTTATTGTGAAGATGAAGTCCAAGTCAAAGAAACTGACGATTTCATGATGCTGTTAGTTCGTTCTGCGTTAAACAATAGTTACAGCAGTATTTTCTACGAATAGCACCTTAGTTGTCAGTGATCACGGAAACTGCTCAAATTTCTCAGTTTTTCAACTCTGTATTTTATTTTTGTTCGGTGGCTGTTATAGAGAGAGCTTTAATGTTATCCAGTGATGGATTTAGGCTTGATGCCACTATAGGCTCTGTTTATCGCGCCACCTTTAATGTTAGAATAAATTTTAATAATTTGGATCCAAAAATTTTTTTTTTAATTTACAATAGCTTTATTATTTTTTTATATAAAAAATAATCTGGACTCAATTACAAAGGAGACGACTGTCTTTACTTTTACGGTCTCTTAAATTGTGATGTTTGAAAAATTTTGCTGCCCCTCATAGCATTACCATACCATACCATTACGAAATGCAATTCTGCTGAACCGTGTGGAAGAAGAAAGTGCTAAACTCGGTCTTCAAATCAACCATTCTAAGACCAAAATAATGATAATAGATAGAGCGCAACTTCTTCCACTTTCTGATGCACTCAGTGGTTACGAGAAAGTAGCGGAATTCATTCAAATAACATCCGAGGGTGGCTCCACGGGGGAGATATGCCGAAGATCCGGTATGGCTAAAAGTGCAATGGCCAATTTCGAGAAGATCTGGAAAAATCGTAGTATCCGATATAAAACCAAATTGCATTTGATGCGGGCACTGATCTTTCCCATATTCCACTACGGGGCGAAGACATGGTGCATAAAAAGCCGGGATATCAAAAAGATCGATGCCTTTGAAATGTGGGTGTGGCGGAGGATGCTACGAATACCGTGGACTGCCATGAGAACAAACGAGTCCATTCGAAGGCAGCTAGACATCCGAAAAAGGCTCTCTTCCATCTGCCGGGAACGTGTTATGAGCTTCTTCGGAGATATCTTGCGGTGTCCCAGACATTAATTAGAGAAGTTCATAATTAGGGGTCGCATAGAGGGCAAGCGCGCCATGGGCAGAACACCAGCCAGATGGTCAGATCTAGCAAGAGAAGCACTTGGTGGTAGTCTGTACCATGCAGTCCATGCCACCCATGATCGAGCACATTGGAAGTACGTCGCATGTGGTCGCGATCCTGAGTAGTGAGGGAACAATACAGAAGAAGCTAATTTCCTGATTTAAAAAAAAATCTCTACATCGAAACAAAAAGAAGATGCAATTTACAATAATACATTTAAGTGTCAGAATTTCACTCTTGAACATGCAATAGTTCCTTAAATAAGTCTATTTTATTGCCTGTTCTTGATAAACGAACTGTTACCATATAACCATATGACTGACTCAGCGGTGCTGTAGTTAGCCCCTGACTGTTGTACTGAAGGTTTTGCAACAACTCTATAAAAAACATCAAAGCAGGCCATCTTTCTCAAATAGGGTCACCATGAAGTGTGATAAATGGTATTGTGTTGGTGACCACAAAAGTATAGTATTATAAAGATATTGTTATTAAAAAACAAGTACATACTAAGATTTCACAAATGAGATTTATATACTTTCAAAGTAGGAGCAAGAGGTATACCAGTAAAATCTCTTTAGAATCTATTAAAAGACCTTGGCTTGTCAAGAAAGAACATTTGTAAATTCTATAATTCAGTGAACATGTAAAGCCACATTATGAGGTCCTCATCAAAGGAGATTGCCCACTAAAGTATGGAATTTGGTTTGTACTCTCAGGTAACTAACCTAATTTTGTAGGGCTTAAAATGTTTATTCAATTATAAAAAAATAAATATATATTCCTAGTTCGCCGGCGATGCTAGTAAAAGACCAATGAAGTTTTTAGAATTATGTTTTGTACAAGACAGCAGTAGATATTTTTTGATTATGTTGAGATACTACATACACAAAAACATACATATAAAGTAATTTATTAATGAAATATGTATATAATACTGATTTAGCTATCATAGTATTGTATGGCTAGGGCCAATGGAAGAGGGACAGGTATATTACAGTGAACTTGCTCATCAATATATATATTTTTATTGCTTAGATTGGTGGACGAGCTCACAGCACACCTGGTGTTAAGTGGTTACTGGAGCCCATGGACATCTACAACGTAAATACGCCACCCACCTTGAGATATAAGTTCTAAGATCTCAGTATAGTTACAACGGCTGCTCCACCCTTCAAACCGAAACGCATTACTGCTTCACGGCAGAAATAGGCAGGGCGGTGGTACCTACCCGCGCGGACTCACAAGAGGTCCTACCACCAGTAATTACGCAAATTATAATTTTGCGGGTTTCAATTTTATTACACGATGTTATTCCTTCACCGTGGAAGCCAATCGTGAACATTTGTTGAGTACATAATTCATTAGAAAAATTTGTACCCGCCAGGGATTCGAACACCGTTGCATCGCTCAACACGAATGCACCGGACGTCTTATCCCTTAGGCCACGACGACTTCCAACTTACGTCTATCCAAGTCTACAAGGTCTATTAAGGTCTTGCTGAATTTGTCTTTGAATATTTCTTCTAGCAGTGGTCCAACATACACTGCATACTCCAGTCAGATGAGGTACCTGAAATTAAAACATGAGATGTACTATTTATTACTAGATTTCACAGGTAGCTTCACCTCCTATTTACTTACATACATTTTAAAACAGTAAAAATGTATATATTTTTATAATAAAAAATACATACCAAATGAAGTAATGTCTGTCTAATTAAAACACTTCATCATGATATACTAAATGACTGCGAATCCGTAGAGTAGATACGCCACAAGCAAAGCACTCACTTTTATGACCAAACATAGGTGATGGTCGTAGTGGTGATACACCTTCTGATACCCGTTGCAGCATTTCATATCAATCAGAACACAGGCTATTGTCAGGAGATACCTATAAAAATTAATCCTATTAATCTATACTTCTATACTTAATATTATAAAGAGGAAAGACTTGTTTGTTTGTTTGTATTGAATAGGCTCTGAAACTACCGAACCTAATTGAAAAATTCTTTCACTGCTTGGAAGCTACACTATCCCCGAGTAACATAGGCTATATTATTTTTTGAAAAAAATTAGGGATCCTTACTAAAACTCCAATAAAGTAACCCAAGGTGTAAAAAAATACCTAAAATATTATTTACAACACGTGCCATGCGAAAACTATTTATGTTAGAATAAAATAATGTACTACGATTTTGTAGAACACATTATTATTTAGAAAAAGTGTCGCGACACCATATGTCTACTATTATAGTTATGCCGCAATAAGTGTTATTTTATTTAAAAAAATAAAAAAAACGTCAAATATCGTTGAAATTTTTGTTAAAGACCCGAGCGGAGCCTGAGCGGGCCGCTAGTAATACATGTTTCGCTTATGACATGAAACAACTAATTTCTGTTGCATTGTAATGCCGAGTTTACATTACGAAATTAGTGTCATGCATGTTGAGCTCAGTTTCACGAAAGTAGTTTCGATATAATGCGAAAGTAATTTCGTTAAAAAATTAGTGTCGCGAAATCCACAGTATCGCAGTAACCATGGCGCCTTCAGCTATAATTTGCTATATTCAATGTAGCTAAAGAAATGCTTATATACCTATAAACTTAAAAAAAGACTATCAAGAAAAAAAAAAGTTGGTAGATTCGAGGATGGTCAACAAGAAGGCATTTAGGTGCAATGAAGTTAGTCTCTGAATTAGCGGATGAAGATCCTGAGAGTTATAAAAACTATTTTCGAATGAGTGAAGATAATTTTGATTTATTACTATAGGTGTTTCGGGACCCTTGTCATTGATATTCATTAATAAGATCTATAGTTTTTTCTGTACTCCATAATTGGT